AGTTCAAATTCATGACTCAATTGTTGTTCTCTGTACAAGAACTGGATTAACAAAATAGAAATAACTGCCGGTGGGACAGAACTTACATTTCAGAATTACAATTTCAACTACCTTATGGAGTGACAAAAGTCCCTGTGGCTTTGTCTGCTCAGACGAAAATTACCCTCAAAATAATGGAGATTTGTTAATCTTAGTGTAAAGGCTTTTTAATTTTATATGGATACATAGAAAACTGAGTGTCAAACTAGGAAGAACAATGTAAACTGATGCAAGAAGAATCTAAACTGAAATGATATGACTGTGGACAAGCCACTTAATTGCGTGGATGAGTAAATTTTTTGGCTCTTACAGGCATTGCAAGCCTAAAATCCATGAATCTGCAGCACTACAGTCACAAGGGGCACACAAATAAATGGGAGGAATCAGGCTGATAGAGGAATACTTTAAATCAGTGTTAGCAGAGATCTGCAATGTGAGCTCACTGCAGCAGCAACCACGAAGAGCCAATCATCAGCTTACTGCTGCCATCACCCAAAATGATAAAAGAACTAATTTGAGAGCATTATAAAAGTACACGGCTGCCAAGGCAAGGACAGCAGGTTAAAAATAACCACAAAGCTATTGAGTTTTCAAGTATTCTCTCACTAGAATGCTAAAAAAGAAAGAGGAAACTAGGTTAGAGAGACCTAAAAGTGTGCAACTGGCTGCTGATTTCAGCTTTCAAATGGATCCGAACGTGCTCCTTGGCATGTCCCACACTACTCACTCAGCTCTCTATAGTAGTTCAAGTAGATTTCTGGGAGGCAATTCAAAAAACACTGGGAATGTAAAAAAAAAACCCCACTACACCTATTACAGTAATTCTTTGCACCTTCTCAAACAGTGTCTCTTTTGTGTGTTGTGAAATTCTTTTCTTCCAAGACAAATATTTGGTTAAGCACAAAGCAAAGAGTGTCCAGTCAGCTCTGCAGTGGGAATGGAGACACATTCTATTTTTCTTCAGGTTTGTCATTATACAACACTCATGAGAAGTTAAATAAAACGTTTGCTTCGGGAGATCTAAACAGCAATAAACTGTTCAACTCTTGCTCTTTCTGGAAACTACTGTAGAATTTTTTATGATCTTTTATGGAAATGTTTTCTAACTTGTGTGACTGCCACATAACTTGTTTCAGTTACACTTGAGCCGTGTTTCTTAAAGACAAAGACTACTGTAAAAAGCCTCAAAATCACATTAATGGACAAGGTGTTATCGTATTGGTGCCCCCAGAGCAACCATTAAGTTCACCAGGAAAGAGGCAGGAAGAAAAAAGTACTCGATTTCAAATTTTTACATGACAGTGTTATGTGTAAAACTCCACTTGGTATGACAGGTACTAGGGGTTTTTTTAGCACAAGAACTGAATATAGCTAAAGAACTAACCTAGCTGAGAGCTGTTAGATCATAGAATCCTAAAATGGTTTATGTTGGAAGGGACATTAAAGCTCATCCAGCTCCAACCCCCTGCCACGGGCAGGGACACCTTCCACTAGAGCAGGTTGCTCCAAGCCCCTGTGTCCAACCTGGCCTTGAACACTGCCAGGGATGGGGCAGCCACAGCTTCTCTGGGCACCCTGTGCCAGCGCCTCAGCACCCTCACAGGGAAGAGCTTCTGCCTAATGTCTAATCTAAATCTTCACTCTGTCAGTTTAAAGCCATTATATTAACTTAGAATATCAACTTATTTGACAGATACCAGGTATCATTCTACCTCATCAAACTCTCTACTCACCAGCAAGAGCGGTACTCAGGACTGCGATGACACTTCCATAGGAAAGACGAGTTTCATCACCACAGGGGCAGAAGAAACTTTGGGACTTAGTTTATTCCACTATGGAATTTCTACCCTGCTTTTTATTAGAACAAACAGAAATCACTGCCTCTATCAGGAGTTGGTATTGCATCACTGAAATACATGGCAGGACTCTCCCCAGCAAAATGTCAAACTGAATTCTTTTTAATGAACACACACTATCATTAGTGCCACTGCAACATCCATCAGAGATACAGAAGAAGAAGAGTAAGAGGAAGCAAGGAGGAAGAGCCAAAATTCAGAAAAAGCCACTGTCAAAGGGAACTGAAACACCATTTATCACCGGTCTCAAAGCGGCACCAACCAGAGAACACCCAGTAGTCCAAAGTCATCTTTGGTATCAAGTATTCCATGGATTCCCTATCCCAGAAATCATGTATTCCCCCTTCTCCCATAAAATCTTGATGAAAAGATGTATACAGATTACAGAGGTGCAGGAGAGGGCTTGCTTTTACACTCATCGAGCCATAGCCAGCTTCATGGTTCACAGACCTTTTGTTAATATTGTGAACTGATTTATAACTTTCCCCATTAGTTCTGTTTTCATATAATCACCAAAATTCTAAATCTATTCCTAAAATTGTCTCTTAATGTAATAAGGACAATACTAAACTAGCCTAGCAGTTAATATAGGCTGACAGTGTAATGTAATGCCAACAATCTAAGATTATATTCCAAAATGAAGTTGTTAACATGTCCCATAACAATTTCTGGTGGATTCTGAATTTAAATGTAGACAGGTTTCTGAATATGAAGAGTTCAGCCAAATGTATAATACTTTTCCTAAACTAGAAACTTTTCAGACACAAAAGCATGCAAGATCTCCCTGAAAAGGAGGTTCATCCCCCAAACACAGACTAGTTTGCACAGATTAAAAGCTATATTTAATTTTTAGATGCAAAACAAATTCCTGGATGTTTGCCAGTTTAAAGGCCAATGCAGACTTGTGACTCCCCTGACAAAAAGCCTTGCGTATAGGACAGGATTTTATTCTATCTTTACTTAAAAATCTGCTTGGCTCCATAATGTCTGTATGATACAGTAAAGTCTAAAAAAGAGGAAGAAGAAAAAAGTTTGAGGTCTTTCAAATAGCATTTTCCACCCTTCGTCTCAATAACTTGGATCAGTTTTACCCTCCTTGGTACCTTCTGTTCTTAAAAGCGATTCAGATAATTCTCCTCCCACACAGTATGAAAAGGAAAAAAGGCTTCTCAGCTACATCAAAATACATTTTGTGTAAAGTATTATTCAGTTTACTTCCTGCAGGGATTGAATACAAAATGCTTTTGATTGAAGTGACAGAGCTTTAGTGCCCAATAACTGTTGAACAGAAAGATCTTAACCAGCCACGTGAACACACAACAGAATTTACTAGTGCTAAAGAGGGACCTAAATGAAAACCCATCAGCATCAGGCTGAGTTTGTACATTTACTAGATACTCCAGAGAAGGTCTTACGTCTCCTCTGGAATATTATACTAAGGCCTGCATAAACATGACTGCCTTTATCTTCTCTCTCTGGAAAGCAGGAAAATACCTATGGCAAGTAACAAGGGAAAAGAGGATAAAAATCCATTAAACTATTAGAAGTAAATACAAATCAATCTCCTTCCTATTTGACAGCAATTCCCATCATAGACTTCATACTTTAAGATGGTAGAATCCTGAACTGTCCTTAATACATCTTTATAAGCTTTCCTCCCTTATTCCACGGGTGATTAAACCCAATCTACACCAAACCATGCAGTCCAACCCAGAGATTTTTAGCTAAACTGGGAGCTAACTGCTGTTCAGAACCCAACTGCAAGAACCATTATGATTCTGCCCTTGATTCTCCACATTGTAATGACTGTATTCAAAATAAATTCATAGTTCTAAATAAAGAATAAGTCTATAAAGTTCTTAGCACCCTCTCTGCAGCAACCAGGTCCTCAGAGCAAAAGCATGGTGGTATATATGCTGTATCTAAGCATTAGAGCTGAGATACATCCATCATAGGAGACAAATCAAGTCCCTAAATCAGACCAGGTAATGGCTGGTACAAATCTAGTAAATAGCTCAATCTTTCTTGGCATGTTTCCAATTTTTACATTATTGTAATTAATCCAATTTATGTCAGCAACTATAAAAAGAGCAGAGACTACTACTTATTGTTACAAGTCCTATTATTTCACAAAACAAAGGGAAATAAATGTTATGGCTTTCCACAGTAGCATTAGAGAGAGCTCACATAAAAGCTCTCCTTACACTCTTCTGAACTAAAGCCAAAACTGATTATGGGGTTTTCTTATTCTACCTGGAAAGCAGCCACGGTTTGCTGGGTATCACTTCTGCAGGTATTGCTCTCAAGAACACAAAAGTCTAACTAGATAGTTGAGCAATATTGAAGTTGGTCTTCTGTGGTAGATAGAAATGACAGATCCGAGGTAGCAACTTTACTAATTCTACTGATGAAAATGTTGTGCCACCTGCCAGAGAAATGGAGAATTGCTGCTTGTTTAGAACCCCACAAGTAGTTCTATTAGTATTATTAGAATAGGATCAGCATCCTGTAAGCACCAGTTTAAAACCAGGCTTTAGTCATATGCAATGTGCTCTCATTGAATCTCAGACAAGCAGCTGGTGGGAATATTTTTGCACTGTTTCTTCTGCCAAGGTGAGTTTAGTTGGGAGGTGGGTTTTGCTTAGCAATGACATGTGAATGAAACTCAAGATTTTTAAAACCTTCACCTGTTTAATTAAGCAAGACCACAAAAAACACAAGGAGAAATGTGGAAAAGGTACCCAACAGCTTTAAAGCAGAAGATGCTGTTGCTATCAAAAATGCACTTCCATACTATTATCCCATTTTCAGTGAAGTCTCAGTCCCAGACCTCTTTACAACCATATACAAACAGCAGCTCTATGTAACTCATTAATAACATCAGTTTTTCAGTTATGATGGTACATAACCCCTCCCTCTTCAGCTCAGCTTCCCTTGGGCTGAAGCCTACAACAGAACCTTGCTAAAAACCACAATGCTTTCCCTTCCAAAAGGAAACTCCAATATTTTAACATCTAGAATCACTCTTTAAGAGACACCATTTCCCATTATTTAACTGTGCATTCAAAATCATGTTTTCATAAAGGTTCATGCAGTGAACTGTACCTCGTTCTCACCACACTCAGAAGGTGTATCCTTGTGTACAGTCATCTGATACTTGGCAAATAAAGTGGCTGACTGGTTGAAGGATGATTTGAACTGGGGGTCCTCAAAGGAGACGGGTACTAACCTCACCTTCAGAGCAAGGAAGATAGAAGCAGACTGGTTTGAGTGCATATCATCAGATAACATGCTTCTGAAGGTAAGGCTAGTGAAAGATCTCCTCCTAGCCACTTCAAAGCCTCTGAAATCAGTTTTCTCCTTTAAACATAATAGCCTCCTACAGGGGAAAGTCTGACAACTAACACTAAGCTTAAACTGACTGTTGATATCTTCATTAAAGGATAAAAACTGTACAACACTCCAAAGCAGCAATTATACAACCTATTTTTTTGACTACGTATCTAACCAACCCACATTACATTTTCATTACACAGTCTCGAGGACTTTTAAGATGTGTTATTTTTAATGGCATACCACTCAATGCCCTGGTTTAACAATTACATATTCTTCCTACATATAGAGAGGTAGTATGTCTGACAGGTAACTATTAGGCTCTGCCTGGGCATTACAAGAAGAAAACTGGGTGATTTAAATGGAGTGCACAGATTGCATTTTGGAGGGCTTAAATTGAAAGTTAAGAGAATTTATACAGCTTCTGTGACCTTTAAACCAACAATTTGTATGTGTGATCAATTTTCAGCCCTGATTATGCTAGTTCCTCCTTATGGAAGCATTACAAATCAAAGCCAGTGAGACTAGTTATCAAGCTGAATGTCCAGCTGGTTTTAGTTCTTATGAGATTTGCATTTTTAAGGCCCACAACACCTATCTCCAAAAGCCTCATCCTCTCCACCTCTTACCCAGCAGCATCCATGTAACTTCCTTAACTTCTCTGTCTGCAACTAAAACCAAGTATCTGTGGCACTCACAAAAAGGTATCAAAAGAATTTGCACTTTCAGGATGTTGATTTTCTTTGACAGTATTTTACTCACTCCTGAATACACAATGGATATAAAATCCACATTTGTTTCTCCTAGAAACAAGACACATGAAATAGAGGGGAAGCTGAGCTCTGCCCAAAATGCATTTGGCCTTCTGACCTGATTTATAGTTGGTTTATCAGGTGGGTCCTTGTGAATAACCATCTGGTAACGTTTATAGACCTGGTAAGATTCCTGAAACGTGGCTTTGAACTGTGAACTTGGTGGAGATGATCTCACCACCCTCACCTTCAGAAGAAGTTAAACACATTCATGATTACAACATCACGCAATAATTATATATTTATACATACACAAAAATCACAACAGGGAGAAATTCTGACCTCCTGCCCAATTTAATTTGTATTAACCAATAGCCTTTGAATTTTCAGCTCCATTTAGGCCACTGAAGGCTTTTATATTTACAGAGTAACATACAAAGTTTACAAACCACAAACTAAAGATTACTAAAATGCCTATAGAAGAACTACACAAAGAGCTAGCAGGAAATAATACCAAAAAGTCCTGTGCAGATTGACATTGGGGAGAGATTTTCTGGACTTTTTTACCTTTCTCTTGTAGTTTCACACTACACTGAAAAATACTCAAAGGACCAGTGTAGCTGGAAGAATCCTTTGCTCTTCATCTAAAGACTCTGCTTTTATAGCAATAAACCCAAGAGGATTCCTTGGCATTTTTCAAATTGAAAGAGGAAGATGAAGCAATGTTGCCATATTTAATTACAAGTTAACTGTAATAGGAAATGATCAGTCTTCCCCACCATCACCTTTACATACACAAAACTGTATAATTTAAATCTATAGATTACAAATGGTTCTTAGCAAAAATGATTCCTCCCTAACCAAAAGAATGGTATCACATGCAACAGTGCCTTTCCTTTCAAGCATATTTAAGGACATGTTGATTTCAAAAAAACATGTTACTTTCAGTATGGGTCTATTTTCACAAACAGCTTTGGTTCTGGTCTATGTAACAGACAAACAACAATCACACATGACAGCCATAGAAAAGAGCAAACAGAATCTAGGAAAACACTGCTGGAACCATCCTCCTTCTAAATGCTCCCTGCATCTTCTAAATGAAGATGTTCAAACAAAGCCATCATACGTCTGTTATACAACTCATCAGCAAAGCTGGAGGAGTTAGTGAGCTGGATCAATTCCATGGCTTCTTGTCATTTATTTTCCAATACCATCATTGATAACCAGTGACTACAGGAAATTACTTGTATTCAGATGGTTTTCCAGCTTTCAGGGCAAAAAAAAAAAAGGGTTTATGATTAACAGAAGTTAGGAAGTCCAAGTCTTCCAGCTTACTGTCTCCATATTCCTAATAGATTTACTGGCGACCAGTACAGTAAGCAAAATTTTCTACCATCGCTTTTACAGCTTCCAAAGACATCAACACATACCAAAGGCAGTTACAAAGAGCAGCTGTCTTCCTATCTGTTTAATTTTAAGAACAGTTACTGCTTTCTTGTCAAGATTCATTAGCATAGATAGCTTAAGCATTTATACACTGCAGAACTAAATATTGAATCTCTCATCATTCAACACTCGGTTAACACAAAGTCTTTCATTTTCAAGTCACACTGTATGAAATCAATTTGCAAGTTATTCTGGTAACTGCACAGGGCTCTGCTACAACTGATTGCAAGTGCACGAGTACCCTCTTGTGGTTACACAGAGCTCAGCTGCACCATATATACGTATATAAAATGCAGCACCATATATATTTCAAGACTTAAACTATAATCATCCCATAAAGTCACCGATTCTAAACACTTAAGCATATAAAAACCTCTCTAATTAGACTTTTCCTTAATCCACCTCCGACACCAGCGAACAAGACATTACCTCTAATTTGTGTTGTGCATCATCAGGTAAAGAGACAAAAACAAAGTCTTCAATGGTTTTAGGTTGGTTTGGTTTAGATTTAGAGTTTTGTAAGAGTAAAACAGGGTCTGCTGCTTGAAGCTGAGAGCCTTCCACTGTGCACATCTGGTTCTGAAGGAGTTTCTGCAGTTTCCTTTCTTTCCGTATGTCCTTTGCCTTTCGGCACGGGGGTTTGCTCAGGTCAGCCCCTTTCCCTAGAGGGCACAGGCAAAGAATTAAACACCACGTTTTGCAGCAAACAAGTAGTTCTTACATAATCACTGACAAGGAATGGCTAAAATCACCAGTAATTGCAGACTGTGGTCTGAACATAGCATGGTCTTTCACATTTACAACTGCAACAACGCCCGGTGCCAAGCTAAGTTGCAATGATTCTTCCCAAAAGCTGTTTTAATGCAGCACTTTAACATGGAAACACCTTGACCACGATTCCACCCTGGGGCCACGGATATATTTAAGAACTAAAATGAAAGACTTCCTGCTACCTCTGTCCTTAAATCAATTTGCCACATCCCCTCTCAGAAACAAAGAAAAGCTCCTATTTAATGTACAGTATGATGGTATACTACATCCAACCACCTATAGGATCAGCCTGAAATACTGAAGGGAAAAAACACAACCACAAAACCTCACAGCCAAATTCACAGAGAATTGTTCTACCACATCCAAAATCCAGATGGCTACAAAACACACCTGTAAAAGACACACACAGATAAAAAAAGCATTTCTTTTTTTGACACCTGGAATCCTTATGCAGTGTATAGAAATGCTGCCAACACCAGTGCCTTATCATAGAATCATAGAATGGTTTGGGTTGGAAAGGACCTTAAGATCATCTAGTTCCAACCCCCTGCCAGTGCTACTAGGATCACATAAAAGAAGAGTAAAAGGCTACATAAGCTTCCATCTTTGCTTAAAAATATATTCAGATTGTCTACTTTTACTCATCAGACCACTTTTATCAATTTACCTTTGTCTTTAACCATTTATAACGTTCTGTTTGTGACATGCTATTTACTTAGAAGAGAAGTCAAAGCTAGAAACTAAATGTGTCACCATGGAAAAGTGTACGTAGCACTACAAGAACTTAGTTTTTAAAGCAACACAAATCCAAACACATGCACTAATAAAAAGTCGAGTGGTTTATATTCCTCAGCGAAGAGGCTGGATTAATTTTATACTTATAATACAAATATAAGATAAAAAGCCAAGATAGGAGAATGCCAGCACTAGAAAAATTCATACAGGATTTTCTGCAATAAATAATGATTTAAAAAAAGATGGCTGATCCCATGTTACCCACAGGCACTGAAAGGATGTTACTAAACAAATAACCTACTTACAAGTACTTTCAAGGCCAGGCTGGGGCAACCTGCTCTAGTGGAAGGTGTCCCTGCCCATGGCAGGGGTTGGAGCTGAATGAGCTTTAAGGTCCCTTCCAACCCAAACCAGTCTGGGGTTCTATGATTCTGTGCAGCACCGATTTCCCCAAACACTGTAATTTTAAGTCAATACTGATTGTAAATCCATAAATTCAAATTTGAAAAAATTACAAAAAGCAAGAAACTTTTTTCTTTCCTAACACTCTAATATTTACCTAAACCTTGGACATGACTGTATAAAGGTATTTGCTATTCCATGTAGTAACTGGCACCACAAGACCTGTGTGAATCTGCTGCACTGCTGCAAACAGTGGTGGAAGGAATACTCAATTTTCAAAGAATATCTGTGTCAGCTTTGCAGCTGCTGTTGCACGTTGCATACAGAGGGAAAGCTGCGCTCAAAATTGCATCAGCAACCAGCTAGTCTAATATAAAGTAATTCTAATTCTGTATTTCTTATTACTTTTTAGGGCAGTGGGAGATGAGTTGGAGGCCAAAAAAGAGCCATAATATCAACAATTTTGTGTAAGTATAAAAAAACAAACTTACACCCATACAGGGAAATAGTGTCATACATCTCGTACAGGACCAAAACTGGGACAAATATGATGACAAAGTACTGGAGAAGTCTTTAGCCATTAGCTTTCTCCTGAAAGCCATGTATTGGCAAAAGACATTGGCAGCTTTTGAAAGACTTACCTTGTCAAATGGGAAAGTACCCTGAACAGTGAGGTGCTTTCACGTGAAGCATTAGGAGGAAACACATTTCCAACTCTTAATACTTACAAGAAGTAAAGAAGAATCCAAACCCAGACTTAACTACAGCTTATCCCACTTAACTCTTGAACGGCTGGAAATTACATGGAAATTGTTTTTTCAGCACTCCTATGATAGCATAGTTGGACCTTCCTTTCCTTCTCCTCCTTCTTAGCAGTAACTTATGAGCTAAAACTGCCACCTTTCTTGTCCTCAATCCACTTCAAACCTTCCCATGAACAATGAGAACACTGGTATCCTTCCACAAACTGGAAATGGTGAGTGCACTGGTATTGTGAAAGCTCACTGATAGGGTTAGAGTCACTTCACTTGCAAAGAACTGTAGCCCTCAGAGCCACTGCCTGCATCTTTCTTTAGCAATACAGACATCAGAAACTGGCAAAATGCTTTGTATTGGGATAAATCTTTAAGCATTAGTAAGGACATAAACTCTTCTTCTTAATGTGCATATCATACAGACTTTACAGAGCTTGTAAGTGTATTCCAGGGGCAAGTTAGTAGCAAGCTCTTAATGGCTCACCCAGAAAATTCCAGTCTGGTTTCCTCTATGACAGCTGAAATGCTGAGAGCATCTCAGGGACTTAGAAGAGGAGCTAGTACCATTTTGGCACTCCTTAGACATCCCCACAACTGCACTAGCAGAATTTATGATCAAGAATTCTCATCTCTCAGCTAAGGTTTTGGAGTATTTGTTTCACCCACAGAGCTAAAATTATTCACCAGAGAAGGACAAATCCTATGAGGAAATTACAGATCTTATGTGACCTGTCCACAGGCAAACAAGTCAGAGGAAGAGTTTATTTAAAATACTCATGATACAGTTGACGAATGAGTATTTCATCTGCATCAGGATCTGTTTCATGTCTCCTATCTTCTATAAGCTGAAAGTTAGCACAAAAAACTTCTTAAAACAATGAATGTGCATGCAGACATAAGCAAACCTTCTTTTCCATCTGAAACTGTGCAGAAACAGCCCATTATTCCTATGGGACAATGACCTGGTTTGCTTATAATGGAATAAAAATGCAATTAAACAATCTGATTATGGAACAAGTCTACATTTTCCACGATGAAAACTAAACATCTTTCTATCTGGAAAATTTTAAACTACATTTGACCTATGACACCATCTACACTAAAAAATATTAAAGATTAATTAAATAAGCTTTCTGATGCATTTATTATTCGCTTTTATATTTCCTTTTAAACCTCCAGAAAGGAAGAAGCACAGAGCCTTGGGTGACATGGTATAGTGTGAGGTGTCCCTGCCCATGGCAGGGGGTTGGAACTGGATGATCTTAAGGTCCTTTCCAACCCAAACCATTCTGGGATTCTATGATTCTGTATTTCTCCTCTATAGAAGTAAACCCAAAGAGTACAAACAATATTTCAAGCTTTCTTTATGTGTGTTTCCAGTGTCTAAAGTTTTACCTAGTGTTATTTGTAACAGAACTGAAGCCCATACCTCACCTTTCTCAAACGAAAGGCCGGTTCACCCACAGAATCTTTACCCAAGGCTGCCATCTGCTGTCAATGGCCACTTTGTTTGCTTCCCATAAACCAGAGTTTTTCATTACTTATTTAAAAAAATATGTCTACAGGACAAAGAACAGTTTAGGTTGGAAGAGACCTTAAAGCCCATCCAGTTCCAAACCCCTGCCATGGGCAGGGACACCTTCCACTCGAGCAGGTTGCTCCAAGCCCCTGTGTCCAACCTGGCCTTGAACACTGCCAGGGATGGGGCAGCCACAGCTTCTCTGGGCACCCTGTGCCCGCGCCTAAGCACCCTCCCCGGGAAGAGCTTCTGCCTCAGAGCTCATCTCCATGTCCCCACTGGAGGCCTGCAA